CAGAAGTTCAATGGGATTTATAACATCTTTTATATCCTCCCAATATTTCTGAATATATATTATATTTAATATAAATGAGATGTATTTCTCGACACGAGATACGTGCATTATTGAGTATGTTCATATATAATTAAATATATAGATAGTATGCGACAATTTACATATTCTTTGCGTCTATTTCGCCGGAGAGGTGTCCTTTTTATTAGAAAAATAAAATGGATCCCTACAAAATGCCATATATATATTGATAGATGATTTATATAGATATAATTAGAGAGAGAAGTATCTCTTTTGGTATATATATATATTGTGTAAATCTAATTTTCGATTTAATAAATAAGTATTGTTTAATTATATGTGCTCTTTTATTTATTTATTACAAAACACACGCTATAGCCTATGTATATATTAGCGTGTAAGTATCTAAACTATTTTATCTACATAGGTTTTGAATATATACATGTACAGTATATATATATATGTGTGTGGGTGTGTGTGAAGTGGCGAAAACAATATATTCAACAAGAGAGGTACACATTTAATTACATATTTATATATTTATACAAAATGTAATGCCTTGACAAAGGTTGGCGTTAAGTCAACCGAATTATTGGTAAATAAATATTTTATTTCAATCCAATATTCGTGCATTTTGATAGCAACTGACTGATTATTGTGAATTCCAGGCAGCGTTTGACCGATTTCCAAACCGTTACTAGCTCGCTGGTATTCAAATTTGAATATTCGTGAATTTTCAAGTATAGAATCTAAAAAAAAACATTCCGTAGATAGATCGATCGATGAGCAAAACAGTTCGACAATAAATATAAACGGCCTATTACAGCCATCACAACAGCTTGTGTTTATTGGAATAGCTACTGGAGGATTTCAACTGAAATGGAGGCTATTAAACAATCCGAGTAATCCAGAAGGTACACTGTCGAGATTATACTGGAACATGTGGGATCGTTCAGACCCCCCTAAAATGTTTTATTACCGGTTTAAATTGTTTTGTAACAAATAATAAAAAGATACATTTAGGTATGAGCACTAAATATTTAGTTTAATTATTATCTTCTCTTTTTATTCTTTCTTATCTCCACTCAATCATATTAGAATATCAAGCTTGTAGAGCTTGTTGATGGTGTCTAATGGGGATGAGTAGAGCTCATCAATGGATGAGCCAATACAGTCAATAATGTGGTTTGGAATTGCATGCAGGTTGAGAAATATATTGTCTTAAATGCTTGATATTTTGTGGAAATTTTATATATTAACAGTTCTTTGTGAAGTTCGAAAAAAAATATATTATATAATCTAAAATACAATTATTTTATTTTTTAAAAAAACATTTTATTTTCATTCATTGACTGTTTTACATATTTGACCATAGATTCAAAAAACATACCACTTTTAATTATTATTATTGTATATGTATATTTAACCCTACCTATTTTTAAAATCACGAATATAGAATTCATTTTCTAAATTTTATATTACTGTGATAAAAATAATTTTATGTGTAATTTACTTCAAGTGATTCAAAATAAAATCTACTTGAAAGGTAAATAATTATCTTTACTTTTTACGACTGCACCTCTTTTCAACAATCAAACATACAAAAAAATTCTAATCTTTAATATATATTCGATATGATTATAGGAAAAGACGACGTGTCTATAACAAAATGTGTGGAATTATTTCTCAATAAAATTGTGCGAATGGGAATGGAAACTGAAGGTCGAGATATAAAGTCTGAAATTAAGAATAAGGTATCTTCTGGTCGTGCAACTGAAAGTTGCTGATGGCTTGCGCCAACTTTCTGAATAATTATAAACTATTCGTTTATTTTTAATATTCCAGAATTTGCCAAATACCCATCTATGATTAATGAAGAAAAGCTTACCACGTAAGCGTTTCGGGCTTTTGGCCTTCGACTTTTCTTGATTAATCAAGAATGGGTATTTGGCCAATTCTGGAATAATTAAAAATAAACGAATAGTTGATATTTATTCCAACAGATGACGTAAGCCATCAACAACTTTCAGTTGCACGATAATGAGATGCCTTTTTCTTAATTTATCTACTTTATCCCAGTTCAAGTTCACATTAGTAATATTTTTTTCATAATCTTAAATGTTACATTGAAATGTACAAAAACACAACAATAGATGTTTATAAAGACATCCCGTTTTATATAGGCTCCTTACAAACTTTTAACGTTCTCTTGATAATTTTCGAAAAATCTTATTTTCCAATAAAGACATTAAAGTGACTTTATACAGCAACAAAATTATTTTGTTGTGACCTTTGCCAGTATATAGAGTCGCCCATGAGTCTAAGAAGGAAAATGAAGTAAACATAAATTTTGAAGATGGAGTAATCTATATAGTGTAATCTTTAAATACAATTTTATTATTTATTAGATTTATAAGAAAAAATAATAATTTAGAATATAAACTCTCTCTTTATTTTGAGTCTAATATATGCTAATATTTTATTAAATAGTAAAAATATTAGGCCTCCAGGGAAAAATATATTTCCAAAAAACATTTCGATAAAATAAACCGTGTTTTCTCCTTTAGAAGTACGTTCGTGTCCGAAGGTTAGATATTAAAAATGTTTTTGAAAACATACCTTTTCCTGGAGACCTGCTTTTTTTACTCAAGTGTGAATATATAGGTAATCAGCTATATATACTAGCCGAATGACCCGGGCAACGCCCGTGTTTTACCCGATTGAATGTTTTGATTCAAATACTATTTGTTACAATTATAAATTGGCGCCTTATATAAATGCATATGTTAGTTAATAACTATAGCCTATGTGCTTTATCTGTCTATGTACTGTTGGCTTCCGTAGGCGTCTCATACTGGGAAAAAGAAAGAGAGGATTCCATTTGGTTATTAACTAATATATGCATTTATTTAAGGAGCGACCCGCTCCAACACAATAGTTACAAAAATGGGGGGGCAAAGGTGGCATGATCGTAGCCGACCAATAGGAGGGCGCCATTCCAAAAAATAAAACGCAAACCGTGACAGAGGCGACGAAGAATGACGCTCGTAACTGTATATAGAATGGTAGAGAGAAATAACAACCACTGCGTGTCTTCTAATTATATTCTTTTAACAATTTTCACCATATTTTTGCTGAACTATTGAAGTGACCGTACAAGAAGATCTCAACGATGAGTTAATCAAAGAAAATCTTATAAATATTTGTTGCATGTTACATATATTGTAACATATGATAAGCAATATGATAATACTCATTTTTGTCTTTCATCCGCCTTTCAATGTATTCCTAAACATAGCCAAACCGTGGACACCGACAACAATTGGTATGTTCATTTTTAAATGTATACATAGAGTTGTTGTTGTAATGTCCAATGAAGAGCCTCAGATGTCCACATGCATCTCTATCACAGCAGTCGCAATGTCCATTATCTACCTACATAGGGTACATAGAGTGTATTGAATGAATTTAGAAATAATAGAACATCCATTATATCTTCAGTACAATGTTGCGTCTTTCGACTATATCTTTGTATAGCTTTATAATGTTTGCCTAGTGGTGGATTGTTGAAAAGGAAGATCGAGGTCTAAGAATGGCTATATGTAATCAGCCGAAACTCTTCTTATTAAATAAATACATGGCTGGCTGGACATGTACATTGGAAAGAATGTTAATTAAATGAAGATGTATACCATAAAGCACAATTTGGATTATAGATTATAAACACAAGGAAATAGGACACACAACATACACACTATTTATTTGGATTTGGTCTTATTACCTTGTGTTGAAGATCTATACCTTTTGTTCATCTTAGTTCTGTTTGATAAAACTTTCTATAAAAGATTTTTCAGATTTACCCCTTCAAACCATAGCAGAAACAATTAATTAACAATATCTTTCGGAGGGTAAGAGGATTAGTCTATTATTTCTTCTTCATATAGAGCAGCATTGACAGATTATTTTATTTTAAAATATAAAAAATATATTTTCATAGAAAATATTAATGAATGTAATATATGTGTTACAATACATATATTTTTGAAAAATGTCCATAAAGAAGCCCTCTTTTGTTAAAAGAAAGCATTGTTTAAAGTGATAAACAGAAATATTTTGTATTAATGCACGTTTAAACGACATATAAGTAATTTTTTGAACATGAATATCCTCTTCCACAAAATTCCTCGTTAGGATTCTAATGCTTGTGTGATTTATTTAAATAGAGAAAAAAGAGGATATATATAGAGAACGGTATTAAGTAAGAATCAAGTTGCAAAGTTCCACAAGTCCGATCAAAGAAGAGCTACAGTAGATCAGTATAAAACGTGGAATAAAGTAACAGTTTAAAGAATAGCCGAATAAAAATGCCAGGATCGAATCCAATCAACAAAAGTGTTTTGCCTTCGTTGTGACATTCCGGTTCCCCAGGGGTTTCATTGGTTGGAGATTTTCTAAAAATCAAATTTCAATTTTCTACTTTAAATGTTCCTTCTTCAATTTATTTTATCTGATATAATTCTCGCCGTGACAGCTGATTTCCACATCTTAACACGTGACTTAGTTCCATTTGATTGTATTTGGCGAATCCTTATGGCAGCCATATTTGGGAATAAAATAACGTGGCTTGGGATCTATTTAATCATATTTAAAGGATTTCAAATCTTTTCTAATACATTTCATAAATTGAATATATCGCGCATACTTAATTTAATCAAAATTATTAAGTGGAATTTTTGGGATATGTATTCTTTGAGCTCTAATACTGTATTAGACGAATTCTGCTTATATATGCTACACAGGAAATATTTATTTATGGGGCTACTAACCAGAATGGAATTAGCCCCGAAAAAAGGTAATAGGCTACCGCACCCGGTCTTCCCAGGTGGTCACCCTCCCAAGTACTGACCGGGCTCGACATTGCTTAACTTCGGTGATCGGACGAGAACCGGCGTTTTTCAATGTGGTATGGCCGTAGGCAAAATTTACCATGCAGGGAATCGAACCCAGGCTTTCTGGGTAAAAGCCAGATATCCTAGCCACTAGGCCACGTGGGAGACGGAATATACTCGTATGCTACACTGAAGGATATTCTTCTTTGTAAAATATGTAGCGAATTTACCAAATGAAAGAAGACAAGTTTCTTTAATTATTCGACGACGCAAGCTTTCGGGCAAAAACCCTTCAACAGGCAATAAAGTATAAATACGACACTATGAACGGAACTAATGGTTGAAGTGACTATATATACACAAATTATTCACATAACTATAGAAAAGAAGCATTCAAATAAGTAATTAAACTATTTTTAAAATAATAATATTATAGAGGACAATTTAAAGATATGCAAATCCATAGCTGGAGGCAAGAAATATTAATGAAGTATATGATATGTCTGATATGGAGTTAAAGTATATAAATGAAAAAATATATATAAAGGCCAGGAGAGCATGTTAAGCGTCGGGAAGGTCAATTTTTCGGTTGATACTGATTTGTTAAGGGAATTCAATGGATTATAGTATAAATCTCTGGTGTTGGTTGTGAATGTATTTATAATGTATGGTGGGGTGTTTGGTGTTAAAGGAATGGCCTGTATTTTGTATATGTTGATATAGGAGGGATCTGGAGTCATGGTTGGAGATGTTACGGGAGTGCTCAGACATTCTGATGGCAACAGTTCTACCCGTCTCGCCTACGTAAGTGGCGGAGCATTGCTCACAGGAGACGGAATAAACTGCGCCACAGAACGGAGGGGGTCAGGGGGGACAAGGGGCTTGGTGTGAGGGTGACGTAGGGATGTGAGAAGGTTAGGGGAGTTCTTATAAAAGGTGCAGATGTTTTAAGACTTCTGGCTATCTCAACTGTGTAGGGGGAATAGGGAAGGAAACATAATGATTTTTGCATATGCAAGAAAGGTCAGTAGAGCACGATTTTGTCAACTCTTAATAGTTTTAACCATAACATTTCATTTACCCTGAGACAGAATCCAACTATGTTATTCCTTTCCTTGATATATTAATTATCCGTACCTCATCCACATACCACACTACAGTATATTATAAAAACACAATGCCCCCCCCCAGTTACACTCATTTTAATTGACACTGCCCTACCTCTCATTAAAATCAATATTGTTAAAAACCCTCACCAAAAAATCTATACCCACTGTTCCCTAGACATTTTAAAATTATTGAAATAAATCACATCATATCACACTTCTCTGAAGCATCTTTCCCTCTCACATTTATCAATAGATATTCATATACACCAACCCTCCCCATGCCACCTACAACCTATAGATCTTTATGTTTCCTTCCCTATTCCCCCTACACAGTTGAAATAGCCAGAAGTCTTAAAACATCCGCACCTTTTATAAGAACTCCCCTAACCTTCTCACATCCCTACGTCACCCTCACACCAAGCCCCTTGTCCCCCCTGACCCCCTCCGTTCTGTTGGCGCAGTTTATTCCGTCTCCTGTGAGCAATGCTCCGCCACTTACGTAGGCGAGACGGGTAGAACTGTTGCCATCAGAATGTCTGAGCACTCCCGTAACATCTCCAACCATGACTCCAGATCCCTCCTATATCAACATATACAAAATACAGGCCATTCCTTTAACACCAAACACCCCACCATACATTACAAATGCATTCACAACCAACACCAGAGATTTATACTAGAATCCATTGAATTCCATTAACAAATCAGTATCAACTGAAAAATTGACCTTCCCGAAGCTTATCATGCTCTCCTGGCCTTTATATAATTTTTCTCATTTATATACTTTAACTCCATATCAGACATATCATTTACTTCATTAATATGTCTTGCCTCCAGCTATGGATTTGCATCTCTTTAAATTGTCCTCTATAATATTATTATTTTAAAAATTATTTAATTACTTATTTGAATGCTTCTTTTCTATAGTTATGTAAATAATTTGTGTATATATAGTCACTTCAACCATTAGTTCCGTTCATAGTGTCGTATTTATACTTTATTGCCTGTTGAAGGGTTTTTGCCCGAAAGCTTGCGTCGTCGAATAATTAAAGAAACTTGTCTTCTTTCATTTGGTAAATTCGCTACTGAAGGATATAATCTTAGAAATGATATTTAAGTAAAATATGGACCTAAGATTTGAGGATAGTAGAATTGCATATAGATATTAGGCATCAAGCACCCAAAACAATGTATAGATGGCGTGTTGTTGTTTATATAAAAGCATTATTCGTTGGGCAAACATTTACTCGGTTAGAAACCGCAGAGAACCCAACAGTATATATAATTGTGATGAACATAATTTATCATCATTAACTCAGAGCCATATCATTCATAGATAAAGTGAAGATTTTTTGTTGATGGTGGTGTCTTGTCCATGTAACAGATCAGATCAGGGTTCGTGCACCCTGATCACAATACCGACCAACAAAGGTGCCTTGTTTGCTCCATGGAATGGGGAGTGCCATTGCCCCGTTAGTCAGCCACATTTCAGAGATTCCTGTTGACGGTTACCGTAGCGACTCGAGGCTCACGACACCGTACTTCACCCTACATGGCATTCCCTTACTTACTCGTACTGCTTCTCCCACAAAATAAGATTTTTTGTTAAAAAGAATGAGAGCTCTTCTCAACAAATATTGCTCCTTCTGTGACACTTCATAAAAACTATACAAATTTGACAATATATCAAGATACAATTAGGTATAAAACAAATGATACAATTATTTATTAAATGATATATAGCCATGTTATTTTCAATCTTTCAAAAGATATTCAATACGTTGTATTTTATAAAAGATGGTATCTTTGGTATCAAAACATAGACAACCTTTACTTCATCACCTCTACAGTCATTCATACTCAACCCTGTAAGAATACCGACAAATCAGCTTTGGAAAATTCGAGATACCCACCCGAAATGTTTTGGTCAATAAATGCGGCTCATATACTTCTGTATAAAGGTTTATGATACCCGAAAGCTTGAAAAGAATATAAAGTGACACAAGAAACTCAACCATAGAAGTCGTTATGGTTATTATTTTAATATGTATTGTAGAGGATTTTACTTTGACGAATTGCGTTTAAAATATCATTATCTATTAATGGTACATATAAGCGAATATATTTGTTTTATATTCTATATTCAAGGACTAATCTGAGTCAAATATCTCTTGTGAATTTCCATGATAAAACTAGCCGCAAAGCAAATTTATATAATACAAGCCGAATGACCCGGGCAACGCCCGGGTTTTACCCGATTAAATGTTTTTATTCAAATACTATTCGTAACAATTATAAATTGGCGCCGTGGATGTCACTCTTGTGAAACGTCCCGCTCCAAACTTTGTGTCTGATAAGCGATATTTTTATAGACAGATGATCTGGCTTTGTGTCTTCTGCTCGAATGAATGTTTTTCTGTTAGAATTTTGTCCCTGCATACTAAAAATGAACTGGCTTCACCAGTGGGTCTCTGCTTTTTAGATTTTTACCGATATGATTTTGTATCTGATAATCAAATATGATACAGAAATATTGTCATCAGCATTTTTTAAACTAAAAAAACAACTATTTATGCCCAGAACCTGTCAATTTCAATTTTTCTTGCCTAAAAATCCGATAAATATCTCTTCCAGATTTTTCTCTACGTCCTGTTGAAACACGTTTTAAATGTACATTAGGTCAACTGATATTATCTCCCATCTTCACCGCTAGAGGCGCTGCTTGCGAACGAAAGGGCAAATTTGCAACGCAATTTGCAAATAACTCGAAGAATATTCGGGATAGAGACCTGAAATTCTCACTATAAGTTTTTCCAGATTCTACTCTATATACTGTTAAAATTTCAGTCAGATTAGTTAGTATTGTGGACGTGTATAGCTGACATAGGAACAAACACACACACATACATACATACACTGACTTTTATATATATAGGGATTACTGTCACTAACTTGGCTCAAGCAATAGATAACTAGATTATGCCAGGTAGTAGAGTTACATCCAGTTTCAAAGACTCAAACGTGGCTTTTTTCTGCTTTTATTTACTACTAGAGAATATACCCGGCTTTTTGTCTGGTTTTACAAGAGGAAAAGTTCACCTAACGAACATTGAATGAACCATTTTTTTAGATAATTCTTTACTCCAAACTGAATCTATTTCCTATTTCCTGATCGTGCAACTAGAAGTTGCTGATGGCTTACGCCATCTATCTGAATAAATATCAACTAATCGTTGATTTTTTAACGCTTCCAGAATTGGTCCAAATACCCATTCTTGATTAATCAAGAAAATCTAACCACCTACGTGTTTCTGGCTGTTGGCCCTCGTCAGCGTTGTGCAAGCTGTTTCTCAACGACAAAAAAACGATCTTTGGGACATCTAAAAAAAAAACATAAAACGGGTATTTAGGCCGGAAGGGCGTGAGAACGCCAATCGAGCGAAAAATAGTACAAAAGTGAATTTGTACTTGGATCAGGTGGATAAATTGAGAAAAAAGGCATTTTATGATTGAGTAACTAAAGGATGCTGATGGCTTATGCCATCTATGTTCAAATATTGCTGGCTTTACATGATATTTTTGCATTAAAAATATTACCTTCGAATATGATAAGCATTTTAAGAAGATCTAGGCTTTTTATTATATGCTTAATGCCATCAAGGTTTTTTTCTACTCCCATCCATGTTAAAGGATAGTATGACAGTAATTCTTTCTGTTTGAAAATTTCCCCTGCACATTTAAGATTCTATATTACATAGGTATTATTTATTTTGAATAAATATATTAGAGGAATTTCTATTGGAATTCTCATTTTGACAGAGAAAGAGAAATAACATTTCTAAAATATCCTTAAATTCTTAAGCCACCCATTCTTCAATGCCCATTTCATACCTGATTCTTTTACTGGATTGTCCTGTTTTCAAGAATATAGAAACGACAATAATTTAATCGTAACAGATCCAAGTATTTTTATTTCCAGAAAATAAATGTATATTAAATTCAATACCTTTTGTAGATATATTTTCAATTATATAGCAACACAAATATATTTTAAGA